GTGCGGCGCCGACGCCCTCAAGAGGGGAACCGATAGCCGACCGGTCGTTATCTTCTCGTTGGCCACACATTCACACTACAAGAATCAGGAGACGGGTCTGTGTTGTCATTACTGTTGCCTTTCAATGCTTTGTCATATTTGCTATCATTTTAAACATAAGACTAATTGAAGTGAATATTTAGATGAATTGCAACAGAAGACTGATTGGCACAGAATATCAGTGTTTAGGAATCACTTACAGGAGAAGACACTCAGCTTTGCGAAGAAAGGGTTAGACTATCACTTGACTCATACTGTCTTCGACTGTATAATTGATTTGTTTGATTCAATTGGTTTAGGAGTCGTCTCTTAGTTCAGGGAAGGCTGTCGTACGGAGAGGTGACGGACGCCAACGGGAACTCACATCAGATCACGAGTATAATCGCCGGTAAATACCATTTGATTACATTAAGTGCTTTTCATTTTATATGAACGCATAACCCATTGTTGAGATTACTGTGTATTTATGAATTTGAATGTAATTACATTGTATTGATAGATAATGTCATATTCCTGTCATCATCTCATGGCGTCAACGAAGAGGACACCGACGACGAAGCCTTAGAGGCGTAATCACAGCTCTCAACCAAATGTGTAAATAAGTTAATATTTTTGTCCCTATTTTATACTACAAATTATGTGAAACATTGAAAAATAATTGTTAACGAAATACAAATGCGAGTTTAAAAAGTCTGTCAGGAAATAGTCAAACATATCGTAACACTTGTAGACATATTTCACAACAATGCTATACTCTATTGAATTATATCTGTAATTATGTTTTATTGAGTGCAACAAATCATTTGTGAATACATTATATAAGACGAGGATATAGTAGTCATAAAACAATAGGTTTTACTTTTTGCCCACTTATTAGCCGACAATATAAATGTGTTCACAAAATCAATTGCCAATTGAATAGTGTGTTGTCTCGATGTGAGGACATGTGGCGACACTAGGCGTGAGTCGGCAACGATTGTGTGGCGAGTGTGAGAGAGGGAGAGAGAGTGTATGCGTTGGTAAGCATTGGTTGCTATGGTTTTGAGTGAGTGTTTGAGTGGATGTATTGCAAGGAAGCGATTGCTGTCCACAACAATAATAGACTCAGTTTTGTGTTGTATTCGAGACTCAAATCCATTTAACATTACATTCAATACATTATTATTGCAAATATAATACACATTATTATATCACAAATGTTTTGTTGCATTTAATTATTATCACATTTAATACACAATATTATTATTACTGCTTTTGTTTGTCTTAATTAACACCGGATTTGCGATTGAGTTTAAAATTATAAATTACATCAAAGACTATACGAAACACACATTTTTGTTGTATGTATTGATTGACTAATTGTAATGATTTCGACGAAACCATACTTTCATTGAATTTAATAATAATCTATACATTAATACAGCGCTAAATCTGTTGTCATAAACTGTTTATTAATATTTAATAATTAAATTTAATTAAATGTTGTGAATATATGAGTAAATGAGTGCTAATAATAATCACTGCATTTGAATGTCATGTGATTTTTGTATTTAATAAACGTTTTGATTTATAAATTGTTTGATTTATATATTAAATCTGTCGATACATTTCAAACTCAGCCCTAAATTGTAATATCGTTTGAAATATAGTTTTTGTCTTTAATTTATTATTTTTCTTTAAGTTATTTGTAATTTTGTTTAATTAGAAATTTAGTTATAGTTTTTCTCTCGCTTTTGAGTCAATCTGTATTTAAAAGCTATTTATTGGTAATAATAATTAAAAAGCGATTGATTTGAACGCTTTGTTGTGAAAGACATTGAAAAGACATTAATAATTGCGGCCAAAGAACTGTTGAAATGGTGACAACAATTTGGTGACGAGTAGTTGTCGTCCCTCTGGTTGTACTCGTGTTGTCCGGTCTATTGGTTGTGGCGATCGTATCGTTGGAAGTGACCATTGGTTTGGTCTCGTGTTTGACCAGTAGTTTGCGGTCCGAAAATCGGTGGCAAAACTGGAGAAATTACCGGAATATCTGAGAGACACTTACGACTGGTTTGTCGGGTAATTATGCCATCAATTGTTGTTTTATTTGTAACAAATATACTGTATATTTCTCACACTTGTATTCAGCGATTGTGAGACGAAAAAGTCATTTTATAAAACAAACTGTCGGTCTAATCGATACCCATATTTGAATTGTTATTTTATTATGATTAAGGGTTTTCTGCAGTCAATGTAAACTAATAGCCAAATAGTGAACAAATAATGTTTGGCTCGTAATTAGATTTTGTGTCAATTTTTGTGCAAAAAACTAAATGTCTTTTTCGTGCGTTTGTTATGTAATATATGAATATAACGAGAGTTTATTGTATTTGAGTTTTTTGTCTACATTTTTTCCTTTCTTTTTTTGCTGCAATTTTGTTAAACAATAGATATTTCGACGAAAAAGCTATATATCTATGTTTTATTGGCTCACAATTGGCTCACAGCCTGTGTCTCTGTTTTTTGAGCTAAATTTAGACAATTATTAGTATTTTCGACGATATATTGACTGAATAGCGAGAAAAGCAAATGTGAAATGAAAGTTGTGTTAATTTTTATTAATGAATGCAAGGCTTACGTAATAAAGTTTCAATATTAATATATACTGTATGTTATTTGTATTGCAATCGCAATTATGGTCTCTATTTATATGCCATTGTATTGTAAATTAATTTCCCAATTGATTCGCTCATTGTATTGAACGTAATGTACAACACATTACATAAATCCTAGTTTTCAATATTTAAATATCATTTTTCACACTTTAATAGCCATATCCTTAACACCTATTCGTGATAGACTTTGTAACCATATTTCTGAAGGAAAGTCATGTTTTCCTTCACATCGTATCATAAAATTCAAATTTATATAAATTTATAGTTATTTTATAGATATATAAAATGTTTTTATCAATCATTGATTATTTGGGAGTATATTTTGCATTTTGTTTGTCTTTCTGTTGAGACGTTATATACGTTATAAAAATTAGATTAAAATATAATACAAATGTAATGCAAGGGAAAAAAGTCTCTATTATTTTGATTAATTTGGTCGTCATTTTAATGAGAAAATTATTATTCTCTATCTATTAATATAGAGTGCATGTAATAGTTGTGTGTATTATAACATATATAATGCAATAAAAATACATTTCACACGAAAAACATATTTGAAAAAACACGACAAAAATTACTTAATAATATCTTTTTTGACCTAATCTTCCATTTGATGTTTGTTTTAATGAAAAGTTTTTCTTAGAAATAATATACACTTATATTTGTGATGTGAGAGAGAATACTATGAACTTAATTAAGCCTTTGAAACAAAATATTCCTTATGTTTGGCGTAAAATAAATAGTAAAAACACTTCAACTGAAAAAAATAAATACTTTTTTCTCTTTATATGTGCTCTCAATTAAATCAAATTCTCTTCTTTTTCCCACTAAATGTCTATATAGTGTACGATATATACTGTACTTTAAATGTCAGGCATTTTCACTAATTTTAGGTTTATTTGACTTTTTAAACATTTTGAGCCAGAATTTGTAACTCATATTCTGTTTACGAAAATTTAATTATGGTTTTTATTCGCCGTTTTCTATCTCTTTAATCGAAAATGTTTTGACTTTGCATTCATTTTGGTTTTGAAACAAGTGTTAAGAATATACACAAAATCTATAAGAAAATGTTTTTTATACATTTTTATAAACACTTGAATTTAATTTAAACAAAAATTATTTATAAAATATATTGTTTATATTAGTGAACTTCAGATTTGAGATCTTCATTTGCCATCAATTCATGAATAGTCTCATCAAATACTGCTATTAAAAGCAATTCAATTTGGAATTAATATTTTAGTAAAACAAGTCCACTTTTTTGCATGCATTTCAGCCAATGCTACGATTTTTTTGCACTCAATGGTATGACTGATTTGCTATCGATTCCTATCACAAACATATTTATCACAAAATCATTTCGCTGTCAAAACTTTTATATATTGATAGCTCTTTCTCTCTTGACTCTTAACAAACAGTTTTTTGTTGTGTTTTGTTGTATTCGTGTTGTTATAAATTGAGATTATATTATATTGTTTGTGATTACAATTATTGATAAACACAGTTCTGGTATGACTTTCAATAATGTTTGGCGTTAAACACAATACACATGTGGTGTACATATAATAGACGGTATTTGGATTCCGTTTGGATTTTTAGGTTCAATATTAGAGTTGGATTTTTTTCATTTGGAACCAAAACTGGGAATTCATTTAATACTGACATCACATAACTTGTATCAACACAAATGTCTGTCACACCTGTCTATCTATGCTTTCTATGTTTTATCTATACGTCTTTGGATTAGATTTTCATTTCATTTTTCTCTCCAATCTTTGTGTCACATCTCTTCCTCCGATTCTTGTGTCGCATCTTTCGCTTAGATTCCTGTTCTTATGGTTTGGTTTACTAATTGATTCTTTCGTTCATTCATTTATTACATCGAAATATAAATAATGATTTTTTCGCTTCAATTTCTTTAATAAATTTGGTTCAATATCTCTGTTTTTAAGCCAAAATGTAATTTATGTTTTTATTATTCTCATGTCATTTGTTACATATTTATAGTTT